TCTCCCCTCCTCGCCCTCTCCCGCTCTCGCCCTCTCCCGCCCGCGCCCTCTCCCCCACTCACCCTCTCCCGTCCTCGCCTCACCTCTGGGTGGGGAAGTACGAGGTTTTTGAGGACAGTTAGGGTTGACAATCCAGGGCAGTTCTGGGTGGGGTGGAGTGTGGGGTGGGTGGGGGAGAGAGCTGTGTGGACAGAGGCACAACACAGCAACTTCATGCAACAGCATCAATAGTTATGAGTAAACCCAATGTATACATGTGGGAGAAGGGAATGGAGGCCTTATAACAGTGGGGCGGGGGGGTAGCGGGGGAGGAATAGCTGCGGTGGGGGCTCGTGTGGGGCATGAACATTGGCCAGTTGGGCCGAATGGCTTCTTTCTACAACAATAACTTGGGTTTATGTAGCGTCCTTCACTTGGGGGTGACGCGCACACACACACACACACACCATAGGCATACACTCACACACACTCACACCAGACATGCACACGTGCACACACACATACACTCACACCAGACACACACGCACGCACGTGCACACACACACACAGAGCGCTTCCAAACTCTGTACGTTTATCGCAAAGGCAACAATGAAGGGAGACGGCTCTGTGTGTGATGTGAGCCGTTGACTGTGAAACCCAATGTGCACTCAGGTTGGGGGGGAAGAGTGAGGTGTGAAGACCTCGTTTTGACCGGGCCCCGATTTGCTTCGGGGATAAAAGGGCTGTAATCCGGCTCAGACACAGTGACTGATTCCCATCTCCTGACAGCTGCTCAGGGGACTGTGAAACGCAACGGGTTCGGCCTGTCTAAATCCAGGCCCCAGTGGACGGGAGTTCACAGGGCAAAATTGCCATTAAATTCAGCATTTATTGGCACTAATTAGGCAGCGGCAACGCTGAGAGACCACAAGGAGTGAAATGTGTTGGAAATACTAATTATATTGTGGTGCTGTGGGTTCTGATGCGGGGGGGGGGTGGAAGGGGAAGAGGGAGCTGTGGGGGTGGGAGAGGCAGTTGTGGGTGAGGGGGCTGTGGGGTGGGGGAGAAGGAGTTTGACCGAGACAGAGCAGAGGAGAGCCAATGCGCCCACGCTGCCAACGCTGCCGCGTTTCGTCCGAAAAATACGCAGTCACTTCACTTCACGGAAGCGCTTTGAGACGCCGCGATGACGTGATAAGGCGCCGTATTAAAGGCGAGAGTTGTTATTATTATTGTCGTTCCGCAGCTCAGCTCCGACGAGGAGAAGCGAGAACAACAAACAAACAAACAAACAAGCAACAACTTGCACTTACTGTACACAGCGCCCTTCACGCGGGGCAGGTCCTCGAGGCAGCGAGGCCTGGCTGCGGTGTAACCGCGAGCTGCTCACACGGTGCCGGGGATGGCCCGAGAGAGGACCTATTGCTCGCCGTCTGTGCAGTGGACGGGCGGGCACAGTGCAGAGCAAACGTTCTCTCCGGCAGATGTTTAAATTGGTTTACAATCGGCCTCCCACGTGCAGCTCGTAAATCTCTCTGAGCGAGGACCAGCCTGGGGGGAATTCAGCCCCAGACTGAGTGCTCGGCACACGCACCGCGCCTCGCTGTGCGCTCGCTTTCCTCGGGAGTGTGTGTGCGTGTGTGTGTGTGTAACCTGCGCTCGTGGCCAACCATTCCAGGGAACCTGCGGCCAAAGTACACAATCGTGCAATCGTCTCTCAGCCTGTCCGACTCTGGCGTTAGCGCTCTCGTCTCCGAGCCAGATCCTGAACCTACAAAGTACACAGTCACCACACTTTTCTGTGTATTCTGCAAAGCGCTTTGAGACGTCTTCCTGACTTGAAAGTCACTTCACGGGTGCCTAATTGGTGCCAATAAATGCTGAATTTAATGTGAAGCACTTCACAGAGTCTACTGTAAAGTGAATTGACTGTATATATATATATATATATATGTTGTGGGCCAAATGCGGCAGCCAATTGCGCACAGCGGTGTCCCTCTTACAAACAGTCGTGGATTGAGTGACTAATGTATTATTATTACGTGGGGAAGGAACTGAAACCCAGTCGGCAGTGGAGAGTGATTTTTCTTTCTTTCTCACGAGTTAAATCGTTACGATCTCTTGTGGGTGTCACATTGTCCTCAGATCTCAGTGACCCGCTGAGCTCCATCAATAGAGACGTCACCTGATTGGTAATTATTGACCTTTAATCCATTTAATCCCATTCCCTTGCTCTTTCCCTATTATGTGTGGCTGTGTGTGAATGCGTATGTCTGTGCTAGTGTGTGTTGGGTCTGTGTGCGTTGATCTACAAGATACACAGTCACCACACTTGACAGTAAAGCCTGTGAAACACCCGGAATTTGGCAAACCTGGAAGATAAATCGGATTGTTCACTTCACGGCTGTTTGTGGGGATGTCGCTGCGCTCAAATTGGCTGCTGGATTTCACCTGCAAAACAACACAGTCACTACACTTTACAGTAAATGATGTTGAAGCGCTTTGAGACTTCCTCCCGATGTGAAAAGGGGTGTCTCAAGTGCAAAGATGATTATGATTTAGGATTATTATTCATCGCAGTAAACGTCTCAGTATCAGTTCTGTCCACTTGGTCTCTTAAGGTTGTGCCTCTCTCCCTCTCTCGTGTGTGTTCCTCTGGTAGTGTTTAACCTTTAATGACATCGGAGAATTCCTGTCCCTTTGCTCTCCCCCCATCGTGTCTGTGCTGGGGCTCGCTCCCCCACTGGAGCTCTCTACTCTAACCCCATTCCCTGCTCTCTCTCTCTCTCTCTCCCCCCATCGTGTCTGTGCTGGGGCTCGCTCCCCCACTGGAGCTCTTTACTCTAACCCCATTCCCTGTTCTCTCTCTCTCTCTCCCCCCATGGTGTCTGTGCTGGGGCTCGCTCCCCCACTGGAGCTCTCTACTCTAACCCCATTCCCTGCTCTCTCTCTCTCTCTCCCCCCATCGTGTCTGTGCTGGGGCTCGCTCCCCCACTGGAGCTCTCTACTCTAATCCCATTCCCCAACAACTTTTCAAAACCTCTTATCTTTATCCTCGACATTCATCTAATTCCTTTTAAACGAAGTAAGTAGCTGGTCGTCATGAAGTGTGGCACAGCCAGTGAGTGAGAACACAGTACAGCTCAGTCTCTGCATCGTCCAACCTTACAGTGATTTATCGCATTATACAGGACCCACATTGCCTCATTATTACTCACTTGTAACAGTCTGTGGATATTATGGGTTGTTTACTGCAAGAGAAGCAAATATTAACAGCTGTTTAGGTAAAGATGGGTCCGTTATTCCCTTTGTGTGTCCTGTAGTTACTGCTTTATGTCATCAATTAAGGTCTCCTTGAATCTAATTGTTTGTGATGTCTGCATTTCCCCCAGTGTCCCATTAATTGACTCCTGAGGGTGAATTGGTTGTGATCCGCGCAAGAAAATACAGACCAGAAAAGGCCATTTGGCTCATCAATCACCCTTTGGAACGCCATCCCACAGTCCCTCCGCCTCACTCTCTCCATCGCCTCCTTCAAGGCCCGTCTCAAGGCCCTTCTCTTCAACTGCGCCTTCGGTCACTCTCCTACCCCTGTAGTCCTGGTCCCTTTTATCGCGTGATAAGGCGCTGGGTCAAATGTAAGGTTTATTATTATTATTGCTATTCCAAGCTGCTGCTGCCCGGCTCCAAAGGCCCTCTTTGGAAGTTCTGCAAACGGAGAGCGAGGGTTTTGGAAGTGAGCAGGAATGGGGCTTGTTCCCTTGTGCCCCAGCCCCCCCCCCCCCCACCACCATCCCCCCCCCCACTCCAGCTCCCAGCCCAGCCACAGCCCGTCTCAAAAAGTCACACTGTGCGGCTTTGAAGCCTGAGCTTTAATCAGCTGAGCTGCGGCGGAGGTTGTGAACAGAACAGCGTGTGTGGCTCAGCGAGCGAGAATCGTCAGCTTTTCATTTCTGTTTGAAAACGCCGCTGACCGCCTTCAGGCTCCGTTCAAAAAGAGAAGGGAGATTCTCTCTCTCTCTCTCTCTCTCTCTTTCTCTCCCCCTCTCAGTGTCCAGGCCAACAATCCCCCCCCCAAATAAATTTGCTCACTCACTTCACGGCTGTCTGTGCAACACTTCGCTGTGTAAATCGGTTCGAAAGTTCAGTCCTGCAGCTCAGTGGTTAGAGCGCTCGCTTTGCAAGCGAGAGACCTGGGTTCGATTCCCGGCAGAGGGCGAAACCTTGGGCAAGTTTCCTTACTCCACACGCCTGAGAATAATCCCTCAAGAAAAAACAACAATAATAATTTGGTTACTCAATCCACGACTGGGTGTGGGACGCTGCTGTGTGTAATTGGCGGCCGTGTTTTGCCCACAAATATACAGTCCATCCACTTTACACTACATCCTGTGAAGCGCTTTGAGATGTCGAGAAGACGTGAAAAGCGCTATATCAAACGCAAGGATTATTATTATTATTATTATTTCCAAACTGCACAGTCACTACATTCTATAGCGAATCCTGTTGTAGGGCTTTGGGACGTCCTCCTGCCATGAAGGGCGATGCACCAGATGGAACGATTGTCCAGATTGACAAGGCACCTCCGTGTACTGCTCGCTGTGGCAGGTGGCGTGCGGTCATGAGCGGAGCTTCTAGGTCAGCGGTATCGGAGGATTCAGCAAAGGGGGGAGGTGGGCGAGGAGGGGCGTAAACAGCCAACAGTTATTACCACAGCGAGTGTGTTGAAGGAGCAGCAACAAACAGTGGCCATTGCTAAAAAAAAAAAGAACGCACGAGACCCATTGTGGGCTGGTTGCTTGCGGCAGGCACCACATTAGTGCGTTGAGACCCATTGGGGAGCATTGTCATGTGTTTGGTTCTCTGTAATGTGAGTGAGTTTATAACAGAGTAGCCCACCCCCCCCCTCCACCCCCTCCCACACACACACAGACCCTCACCCCACCCCCACGCACTCCCCCTGAGAGCCATGTCAGCATCACCTCAGGCCTGGCTCATCACCTTCATTGTACCTTTTGTCTTTTGGAACAGAAACCCTGATGGATTCCACGACAGCAACAGCAGAGCTCGGCTGGACAGTCCATCCTTCATCTGGGGTGAGTAAGCTCCCCCCCCCCCCCCCCCCCCCACCCCCATCCCCACAACCCCTCCACCACCCCACCCCCCCCCGTCTGCGTTCCTTGCCTCCCTCCCCACACACTCCGTCTGCTCTCCTCCCCACCGACAATCTCTCCCTCCCGGTGTCCTGGCCAACAATCCCCCAGATACAATTGGACACTTGTTCCACGGCTGTTTGTGGGACGTTGATGCGCGCAAACCGGCTGCTGCGTTTCACCCACAAACTACAAAGTCACTCCACTTTACTGTATATCCTGTGAAGGGCATCTAGACAGATGTCCTCCTGACGTGAGAGGCTCTGTGTAAATGTACATTGTTGTTGTTGAATGGAGTTGGGGAAACTCGAAGCTGTGACAATGAGTTGACGTTGGGTGAGAAGCCCGGCTCAGAGCTACACAACACAGGAGACGCCATTAGCACTGCTCTCCCAACCCTTCACACCCCTGGACCTAACTCCCCCCCTCCCAGGGACTCATGCTCTGTATCTCAGTGTGCAGTAACCGCTGGTGTTTCTATGGCCTCCCGCATTCCCTCGTGTCACATGTCTGATCCCGAGCAGAGAAATGAGAGATTGACAAACAGTGACCGAAGGCCTTGAGGGCAAGTGTCTGTGAGGCTGAGAGGGGATCGGGGAAGGTCCCGGGATCCAAGACCAATCGCCGTGGGGTGAAGGGAGAGAGGAACGCTGTGCAATCCAGCAACAATCTTGTCTTGGGAATTAGGGAATTGATGGGGAGGAGAGAGTGTGCGCGGGGGGAGGGAGTTGAGAGTGTGCGGGGGTAGCGAGGAAAGGGGGAGAGTGTGTGTGTGGGGGTGGTGGAGGGAGTGCGTGTGGGGAGGGGGTGGTGGGTGGAGAAATAGGCCATTAAATCTCAGCACCCCGTGCCATGTCCTCCTCACACTCGGGCTGTGAATGGTGCCCCAGTTCATTGTGGTCGAACTGTGACTAATGAGTATGTTTTTTTGCTAATTTCACACCCTGCCTTCACCAGAGATTCCTTTACGCCTCTTTGATAACAATAAAGCAAGGTTTTCAGTGCGGAGGCACAGACAGACGCTTGGCAAGGCGGGCTGTGTCAGGCTGTGTGGAAAGAGAGAGAGAGAGACAGACAGACAGAGAGAGAGAGAGAACAAGACAGACAGAGTGAGAGAGAGCGAGAGAGAGGAGCTCAGTGAGGTCCTTGTTAATGAATACAGTAAGTCAGCTGCGACACTCCTTTTTCTCACACCACATTTCGCCACAAGACGCATTGAACTTGGCTGAGCCGTAACCCCCGGGTCTTTTGATCAGACAAAAGCACCCACCGAGGCTTGATTGCTGCTCAATGGCTGAGGTGAAGGGGGTCAGAGCCACTTCACTCCCCGCCTGCCCCCGCACCGCAAAGCGCCCAAAGGAAATATGCAAAGTTTGGGGGCCGCTAATGAGGCCGTGGCTGTGTTTCACTGTGAATGCTTGGCTGAATATATTCTACTCTCTCGTTGAGCTTCCCAGCGTCAATTAACGAGGGGGATCCGGGAGGGGGGGGGGCTGCTCTAATTAAATGAACAAGACCAGGTTCGGCCACTTTAATTGCGACTTGACTTCTCACATCTGAAAAAAATAGCCCTTTTTCAGGCCCTGAGCAATTTACCAGATTATCTCCCCGGTGACCTGACCAGTAACCCACTCTGTGCTGTGTGTGTGTGTGTGTGTGTTTGGCTGAACCTGGTCAGACGGGGCTGTGTTTAAGGTTGTGTGGGATCAACACACACACACACACACCCACTCACTCCCTCCCTCCCCCCCCCACACACACACACACCTCCGCGCATTAGACTGAAAAGCCTCCTCTCTCTCTGGGAGATTGTCCTTTTGTTTCACCCACAAGACACACAGTTACTACACTTTACATATGTATCCAGGCTTTGAGACGCCTTGAAGACGTGATGAGGCACTGGGTCAAATGCCAGGACGACTATTATTATTATATTTCACTCAAATGTGTGCTCTGCTGGAGGGATCCTGTCTATACCGTTTCTTTTCACATCTCCACAAATTCCACCCCCAACATACTGACACTCACATAGACACACACAGACACCCACAGACACACACACACACAGACACGCACACACACAACTCAACATTCATTTATTATCATCCTTCTCGTATTTTTTTCTCTCTCGGAAGACGACTCCTGATATCTTTGCCGAGTGCTGTTTACCTGCTGCCACTGCCCCCCCCCCCCCCCACCCCCAGGCAAAAAAAAAGAGGCCATTAAGTCCCGGTAATGAGGCATCATTTGATTTCAGCCGTCGTGACATTTATTGTTTAGCCCCGAGAATGTCGGGGGAGTGATTATCAAACAATGTGACTGCAATGACCTTTTGATCAAAAAAAAAATCCAGGCTACAAAAATAATTTCCATTACCATATCTGACGATCACTTTAGTATTTTTTTCCCCCTCTGTTTGTGCTGGATAATTAATCAAAGACAGTGGGGCCACTGTAGTGTGGAACGGATCAGGACAGGCTAAAAGGTAGCTCGTCTGCAGACAGACCGCCTCACAATAGACATGGCTGCAGTACATACACTTACGTCACCAGCAATCTGCGGCTCTGAAAGGATTTTGCTCTGCGCTTTGCCAAGTTTGCCTTCTCGTGTCGTGCTCGGGAGTAAGTGGATGTGACTGGGCTGCGGGCGCGTGGGCCAAGCTCTTGCCTCGCTTTGCCTGAGCCGCGCATTATGTAACGTCAGCAAACAGTGTCTGAACGATTTGACCTCTCGCCACACGTGAATGACATTCCATAATCAGAGTTTATGTGGATGTAAAGGCTGGGACAGCGATAGCCGACCCAGCCCGACCGTGTCGCTGTCAGCACGTCCTTTGCGCCATCCCCTCTGCCATCGGGCGTCAGCCTGGCTCAGTCTGTCGCCCTCTCGCCTCTCAGTGGGTCACAGGTTTGCGGGTTCAAGCCTCGCATCGGGACTCTTAGTGCGTTGATTTGATGTCCCCAGTGCTCGATGCAGCTCCTTACTGCGTCGTGGAGACGTTTCAAAGCGCTTCACAGGATTGATTGTAAAGTGTAGTGACTGTATTTTGTAAGTGAATGCGGCAGCCAATGTCCCCACAAACTGCCATGAAGTGAGCGACCAATTACATCAGCCCCAACCCCAGGAGAGAGAAACTGCCGGGTTTCCGTGTGTGTCAGACACCCGGCTGGTCACGGTGACGGGTTTCCGTGTGTGTCAGACACCCGGCTGGTCACGGTGACGGGTTTCCGTGTGTGTCAGACACCCGGCTGGTCACGGTGACGGGTTTCCGTGTGAGTCAGACACCCGGCGGGTCACGGTGACGGGTTTCCGTGTGTGTCAGACACCCGGCTGGTCACGGTGACGGGTTTCCGTGTGTGTCAGACACCCGGCTGGTCACGGTGACGGTTTCCGTGTGTGTCAGACACCCGGCGGGTCACGGTGACGGGTTTCCGTGTGTGTCAGACACCCGGCTGGTCACGGTGACGGGTTTCCGTGTGTGTCAGACACCCGGCTGGTCACGGTGACGGGTTTCCGTGTGTGTCAGACACCCGGCTGGTCACGGTGACGGGTTTCCGTGTGTGTCAGACACCCGGCTGGTCACGGTGACGGGTTTCCGTGTGTGTCAGACACCCGGCGGGTCACGGTGACGGGTTTCCGTGTGTGTCAGACACCCGGCTGGTCACGGTGACGGGTTTCCATGTGTGTCAGACACCCGGCTTTGACCAAAACAAAGCACATTGATTGTGAAAGGTTTTCCGTATCCAAATTCTAGAAAAAGGTTTATTGAAAACCACAGAAGCTCTCATTACCTCCTCCGGGAGTGAGTGGGGGGTGGACACTGTGCATGTGAAGTACTTACATTCATGCTGTGTATATGTGTGTGTGTGCGTGTGTGCGCGCGTGTCCCTGTGTGTGTGTGTGTGTGTGTGCGCGGACCTCTGTGTGTGTGTGTATGTGTGTGTGCGTGTCCCTATGTGTGTGTGTCTGTGTGTGTGTATGTGTGCGTGTCCCTGTGTGCATGTCCCTGTGTGTGTGTATGTATGTGTGTGTGCGCGCACGTGTCCCTGTGTGTGTGTGCGTGTCCCTGTGTGTGTGTGTGTGTGTGTGTGTGCGTGTCCCTGTGTGTGTGTGTGTGTGTGTGTGTGCGTGTCCCTGTGTGTGTGTGTGCGCGGATCCCTGTGTGTGTGTGTGTGTGTGCGTGTCCCTATGTGTGTGTGTCTGTGTGTGTGTATGTGTGCGTGTCCCTGTGTGCATGTCCCTGTGTGTGTGTGTGTGTGTATGCGCGCACGTGTCCCTCTGTGTGTGTGTGTGTGTGTGTGTGCGTGTCCCTGTGTGTGTGTGTTTGTTGCAGTGGGAAGAAGTGAGCGGCTACAATGAGAACATGAACACCATCAGGACGTACCAGGTCTGTAACGTGTTCGAGGCCAGTCAGAATAACTGGCTCCGCACCAAGTACATCCGACGCCGTGGCGCCCAGCGCGTGCACGTGGAGATGAAGTTTTCCGTGCGGGATTGCAGCAGCATTCCCAACGTTCCCGGGTCCTGCAAGGAGACCTTCAACTTGTACTATTACCAGTCGGACAAGGACTCGGCTACCAAGACCACTCCCTACTGGATGGAGAACCCCTGGAGCAAGGTGGACACCATCGCCGCTGACGAGAGCTTCTCCCAGGTGGACCTGGGGGGCCGGGTCATGAAGATCAACACCGAGGTCCGCAGCTTCGGGCCGGTCTCCAAGGCCGGCTTCTACCTGGCTTTCCAGGACTATGGGGGCTGCATGTCGCTGATCGCTGTCCGGGTCTTTTACCGCAAGTGCCCCCGAGTCATCCAGAACGGGGCCGTGTTCCAGGAGACACTGTCCGGGGCCGAGAGCACATCGCTGGTGGCCGCCCGAGGCTCCTGCATCCCCAACGCCGAGGAGGTGGACGTCCCCATCAAGCTCTACTGTAACGGGGACGGAGAGTGGATGGTGCCCATTGGCCGCTGCACTTGCAAGGCTGGCTACGAGCCTGCGGAGAACGGCACCGTGTGTCAAGGTAGGACTGACACCCTCACCCCCCCCACTCCCGCCCTCCCTCCCTCCCCCCTCCAAAGAGCTGCCAAGGCATGAAGGGATTTGTAAGGATCTTGAAATCGATCTGTTCGGTGATGGGGAGCCAGTGGAGCCTGGCGAGGACTGGGGTGATGGGGGGGGGTGCGGGGCTTAGTGTGTGTGATGGGGAGCCAGTGGAGCCTGGCGAGGACTGGGGTGATGGGGGGGGTGCGGGGTTTATTGTGGGTGAGAACGTGGGCAGTGGAGTTGTGGATCAGTTGTAGTTCGTGGGTTCTGGAGCCTGGGAGCCAGGCGAGGAGGGCAGTGTGGCACAGGGCAGTATTGATGGCAGCCGGGCACAGCCTCTGACAGCTGCTGTGCCCAGTCTCCAGGTCCTTGTTAGCCCCAGGTTCCTCCCGTAAATCACAGAGCCCGAGGTGAGGCCCAGAGCTGCTGAGAGCTTATGCGAATCTGCCACTCTCTCTGACAGATGGCGTCGGGGAAGGAGCTTCCCTTTTGTGGGTCACTCTCTGCTGCTCCAGACCCGCAGGTCGGTGACATTTAATTATGTCGCAACAGGAGACGGACTTTACGGGGCGTTAAACGATTTTGAGCAAAAGGGCTTGACATTCACCCCCCCCCCCCCACTCCCCCGGCGATGGTCAATCGGGAGGAGAGGGGGCGGCTCGGATAGCCCGTGTGTCTCGTCTGCCAATGGTTGGCTGGTGAGCAGTGGGACTGGATTTGACAGGATATTACAGGGATATGAGCTTGACTGCTGCAGGGTTTCTGACTCTCCTGCCAAGTGAAACGCAGCAGAAGCTAAATCGAATCGCGGTCGTGGGCCGAGACGCCGAGTGTCACAGGGCGCGAGGACCGGGGTCCGTGCGTGCGGTGGGTCACGTATCGAGCAGCCGGGAGGACGCGGGGCAAAGTGTCTCCGGTGCCTCCCGCTCGCGTCCCAAGTCGGGCGGCGTTGGGTGGATCGTTTTTCCGGGGTCTAACGATCCCTTCCAATAAAATACACCTAAGTATTTTTTTTTTGAAAAAAATAATCATTTGTGGCCAATTCAGTCCGGGTCTGTTTGTGGGGACGCTGCTGCTGTGCGCAATTGGAATACACAGTCACTACATTTTACTGGGGCCTGGGTGGGGGTGGTGAAAAAATACCCAGTCACTGCACTTCACAGCACCAGCGGCGAGTAAAGGGTTACAGCTGCCCTTTGACGTTGAACGGCCGTTCTTTAAGGAGAATCCGGAATGCCAGACAGCCGGGAGAGGAAAGCTTCATTTGCTTTCCGTGCGAGACCCTTTGAGCTCTGTGTGTGTGAGCGGATCTCTGCGGGGAGGGAGCCCGGGCTTTGTCCCTGTGTTTGTGGAGGAACCCGGAGCCGCAGGCTCGGCTTTAAGAGGATTTGGTGGACACGGCGGGTGCTCATTCCACACGCAACCCGAAGGCGGAAGGTTTTCAGCGATGCTTCTGGCAACTGTCACTAACTTCTCCTGGCTTCCCCCCCCCCGTGCTAAACTCGCTGAGAGGCTTTGAAGAGTAATAATAACAATAATAATAATAATAATAAGCATCAGAAATAATAATAATCAATAATAATAATCCTCGCATTTGATATAGCGCCTTGTTACATCACTGAGACGTCTCAAAGCGCTTCACAGAAGATACTGTAAAGTGAAGCGACTGTGTATTTTGTGGGCGAAACACAGCAGCCAATTCTGCACAGCAGTGAGTGTCCCACAGACACTCGTGGATTGAGTGATCAGAATTTTTTTTGGAGGGGCTTTTACCCCCGGAAAAGCCATCCGCCAATCGACGGACAAGCGGGTCCCTATTTGCTGCTGGTAATAATAATAATAATAATAATAATAATAATGAGAATCCTTTTCACGTCTTCTCGACGTCTCAAAGCGCTTCACAGGATATGCTGTAAAGTGAATTGATCGTATATTTGTGGGCGAAATGCCTCTGGTAAACAGGGGCGCGTGTGTGGAGTAAGGAAACGTGCCTAAGGTTTCGTCCTGCCCAGAATCGAGCCCGGCTCCTCTCGCTTGCGAGGCGAGGGCTCTAACCACTGAGCTACAGGATACCCACAACGTTTTTAACGGCTGATCGGGAATGGCGGCGGCCCTGATGATGACTGGGAGCTTTAGCCTGGAGTCGAGTCGCTGTGTCCGCACGGTGTAGGGGCTGAGAGTAGAGCCGGGAGAGGCCTGATTGCACCTGATAAGTGAACACTTTGCCAGCAGTGAGCCACTGTCTCCCAGCTCAGTGTGTGTGTGTGGGCGTCAGATTAGGATAGAGTTCCACCCCAAAACCCCACCACCCCCGCGAGACCCACTTACACAGCCCTGATGTGACAGCCGCCATTATATATTGCCGTGCGTACCTGACTAAGAGTTGCTCTCATGTGAGGTTCACTGCGGGTTTCCCTGGGGGGACACGAGGGGGGAGGTTGACAGCTGGGTGAGACAGCGAGACCCTCCAGGAGAGTTCGAGCTCAGATTATCTCTATGGTTGGTGGACGATGCACGAGGCAGTCACATCATAACCACACAGTGTTATTAGTATTTTTTTCTTTCTTAAAAGACGTCCATTCTCACTCCACAAAGTCTCTTAATAATAATAATAATAATATTAATAATAATAATAATAAGCCTTGCATTTGAAATGTCTCAAAGCACTTCACGGGATGTACTGTAAAGTGCAGTGACTGTGTGTTTTGTGGGCGAAACGCGGCAGCCGATTGCACACAGCGACGTCCCCACAAACAGTCGTGGATCGAGTCACCAATTATTTCTTTTGGAGGGATTAGTTGGCAGGCACGGCCGGCCGGGATATGACAGCCAGAAGTGGATGATAATGCGACTTAAATCTGTTTAATAGCTGTGTCAGTGCTGTCCACATTCATTCCATTTTATTAGCACCAGACGCCCCATAAATCCCGAGCTTTTGGGGTCAGGGAGGGAGAGGTGGACGGTGTCTGTTTGTCTGCAGGTCTATCCCAGCGTCAATCAATAAAGCTCCACAGCTCACCCTCTCACAGGATTAAACAGAAAGTGCAAAGTAAAAGAATTAGGAAAATAGGACCAGGAGGAGGCCATTCAGCCCCTCCAGCCTGTTCCACCATTCTACTAGATCATGGCTGATCTGTACCTCAACTCTCATTACTAAACTGTGCCCCATATCCCTTCGTACCCTGACCTAACAAAAATCATAGCCTTACCTTTAACTCAAAGCGCTTCACAGAATATACTGTAACGTGCAGTGACTGTGTATCTTGTGTATACTGCAGCCAATAGCGCTCCGGCAGTGTCCAACAAACAGCCGTGGATTTGGTGACTATTTGAGGGGGATTATTTGGCGGCCAAGCCGATACTCGACAGGCAGCGGTGGATGGTATTGATCTGTGGTGAGGGAGTGCGATCTGACTGACACGTGTTCCAGCTTCTTAACTTGGTTAATTCTTCTTCTTCGCTGCAATTCCACTTGGATACCTGATCACCTGCCGGGACCCTCGGTGCAATCTGACTGCCCTGAACTGCCACATTCACACAGCGTCAGACTCCCGTCGATCGCCAGCCCGCAGTTAGCCCGCAACAGGAAAGGTGCAGCGCTACTTCGCCGTTGTTAACTGAGGCTTAAGGACAGGGGATTGATGCGAGAGACGGGTTTTATTTAGATCCTCGTTCGTTCTCCTCAATATTCCCTGGGATTGCTGGTTATGGTACAACTGGGCACAGCAGGCGTGTGTTAGTCTGTGTGTGTGTGTGTGTGTGTGTGCGAGTGTGTGTGTGTGTGTGTGTGTGCGAGTGTGTGTGTGTGCGCTAGTCTGCGCGCGCGTGTGTGTTAGTGGGCGTGAGGCAGAGCGAGTGCTGTGTGTGTGTGTGTTGGTGGGTGTGTGTGTTGGTGGGTGTGAGGCAGAGTGAGTGCTGCGTGAGTGTGTGTGTTGGTGGGTGTGAGGCAGAGTGAGCGCTGTGTGTAGGTGTCTGAGTCGCTGTGTTGCTGCAGAGGCAGATGCAGTTGTTGCTGAAGATAATTCTATTTAATTACTGATTACAGATTCCATTAGATTGAGGTGTTGAGGGCACTAACAGTGTTTGCTTACATTAAAATCCTCGCTTCCTTTTAAGCCACAGCAGGATGTTTGGCTTTCTACACAATGTAATTACATTCTTAAATTCATCCCTATTTTTCACAGTAATTATATTTGCAGGGACATGATTTAAGGTTACACAATGTCCTTGCTGGCATTCTCTAATTGCACAAGAAATGTAAATAGCGGAGGGCTGGGAGCTGGTGTGTGATCACCTCACAGAGGTGAGGGTGCACTCGCCTCGCGTTCAGCCCCAGTTGCGGTTAGCGAGTGTCGATCTGTCTCTCGTTCTAATTATATCAGTGAAGGACGTGTGAAGAGCAGAGTCAGGTCCAGACTTCACTCTTTTCAAACCCATCCTCCTTACCCATTGGGGCCATTGCTGTGCTGAAGGCTGGTCTCTGCCGCACAGATAATCGAGGGGAAAGCCTTGCGTTAGTGCCAAGAGAACAGCCCAAAGCAAAGCCCCCTCACTATTTCCATCAGCCCCCCTCCCGTCCCCCCAACAGAGGCGTGGGTGTGTGCGTGTGTGTGTGTGTGTGTGTGGAGTAAGGAAACTTGCCTAAGGTTTTGTCCCGACCCCCCGGGAATTAAACCCGGAACCTCTCGCTTGCGAGGTGAGTGCTCTAACCACTGAGCCACAGGACAGTACGTATACGTGAGGCAAGTGGACTCCCACTGCACCCACCCCACCCATCCGGCCCACACCCCACTCCACACACCACCCTGTAACCCCCGCCTGTCGGTGTCCCTGTGCAGAGCTCACAGACACACACACGCGCAGACACACACGCTAACGCACACACAGACACACACACACACACAGACATACCCACACTAACACACACACACTAACACCCACACACACACACACAGGCACACACACTAACACACACAC